CAAGAGTTTTGACGGTGAGAGCAGTCCCCCGAGAAGTGGTTTTGGCGGCCTTGCGGACTGGCGAACGACCCCACCAACATTTATTCCACCCCCGTCCGGCTCCGAGCCATCGGCGCGCTGAAGAGCCCCAACCCACCAGCACCTGGAGCGGATGTCTGTGGCCAGATACGCACAAAATAGGTAGCCTTGGCCAGGTCAGACCAGCATATTGAGATGTTGCAGGCATGTGACAACATCAAGATAGAGCGCCTTGTGTTCTGCCCTTGGTACCTTACCAAGTTAGTACTTTACAGGGCAGACACACCCAGTGGAGGGGGTCAACGACCATGGACCCTTTTAAGCTTGTTCGCGGCACATCATCTGTTGCTGTTTCGTACCTGTATTATTCCTACGCCCATCTGCCCGTTTCGAGCAAACAGAGATCGCGGATTCGAGTCTTGAACTTGAAGCACCATATCAGAAAGAAGAAGACCCTACTCAAGCCGAAATAAGTCAAGTGCTTGACTGCGGTACCCGTGGAGAGTCTATCGTGCCGCAAGCCCGCATCTTAGACGTCAGCTCAGGGCGTTGGGTTTAGGGCCCCCAAAGTCCTAGATTTTGCTCATCCCAGTACGCTGACATCGAATTCAAGCCAGAATAGCTCACGCAGCTAAATAGATGCGCTCAAACTGATGATGGTCTCAACGTGACTAATGAGTCTTTAAGCGGATGTTCTCAACTGTGGCCGTTGCGAGCTGTGTCAGAACGAGGTAACTTAACCCACGCACTTACAGGGTAAAGCGTTAGCAGTCGGTCTTCTCTGATACCACCTGTCCACCTCCTACCATCATCATAGTGCAAATATTATTCGTAGTGGCAGTTTCTTTGTTTGTATGTACAGTCGCCCTTCAATGTCTTTGCTTTGAACCTTATCCGGACTGTTGATCTCGTCAAAACGACTTTAAGTACCTGGAGATCTAGAAATCCTGACGTCCGTCAAAGGATTCTGCCAAAAACGGTGAATCAGCAACCTGGCTTACAGCAGTCATCGAAGGCAACCTGGTGGAGTGGAAGACCCGGGCCAAGCAGGGCTGCAATACAACACAGCAACATCTAACCAGTCACATCAATCTCCCTTTACAGACTAATGTTCCGAGACTTCATTCTGGAGCAGTTGGCAGTGAGACAAACCTATACCCTTTGCGACCGACCCTTAAGTTGGGTGTGGTATTTCGCTACTCTTCTCTTTTACCTTGCCTAGATACGTGTAGGTAGGCATATCTAAGCTCGGAAGCTTCTCCGCGATCCCATTGCAAGTTGAGGGCAGCAGCACTGGGAAAGCGCAGCATCTCATTACCAAAGGCTCAGCCTGCTTCGAACACGCAGTCTGGGGCTGATCTTGACTCTGTTGCGTTAATGGTCCTGCAACCAAGTGCATTTGACATCAGAATATCAGGCGAGAAGAAGCCACACAATTGCAATCGTGCGACCTTGGTGGGTGACAGAGCAACGATCTTCTCCGCACACAACCCCCCGGACTATTTACCTGGTCCTACCTAGCCTCCAAGCTCCTCAAAGTGGGCGAAAATCATCAGCTGTGGTGCAGTACTTAGCGAGCGCCTCAGGCAGTACGTCTAACATAACCACGTATTGGCCTTCCGATCACTCAATCGACCACTGCTGGGAGCGGAGAATCATTGCGGCTGATTCTACGAGAGCAACGTCTAGTTGCGCGCTCATGAGGTGATCCTCCGAAACAACAGACCCAGTCCCTTGAATCGACGTAGAATCTGGCATGTAATGAACGACCCTCGACGCAGCCGCCGCCGTCGACACCTAACAACCCGCCGCATTACGATATCACCAACCGCAACATCTTCCCAACGGAGGCGCCAACGCCTACGGCTGGCGAAGACGAATACATGCTACGACACCAGACTCTTATAGGGGCTCATTCATTGCAGCTGCTCACTTCGTCGTCGTCGACGCCGACAACTGGTCTCGGGCAAGCAAACACATTATGGCGGACAAGATAGCGGCCTTCGTCCGGGTCTCTGGCCCGCCAAACAGCAGCTTTCTCGTCGGGTATCCAGGCATATCAGCGACACTGGTAAGTCTACGTTTGCTGTGTAATACTCGTTGCCATCGGGAACTTCCCGAGATGTCTTGGTGATGCCTGTCAGCTCTGTCCGGTCCCGCATCATCATGTGGGGTGGCGCGGCCAGCTCCCCAGAGCCTTGCGACATCACGCCCAGAGCTCCCCAGTGCATCAGCTTCGATATCAAATACTAACGTGACTCATTGCAGCCGCGCATCGAGGGCAAAGTCGAAATAAGACCGTCACAAGGTTACTCCGCTCCAGTAGCCGTCTCCCTGGTGCGAATTTGTCTCCAGCGCAGGGAGACCATACATCCAGCTGCCGAGAACGTAGCGAAGCGTCACCTGGGAACACCGCGACGGGATACTACAGATGTGGTTGGCAAAGAGCTCCTACTCTTCCGATGCGCGTCAGGCAAGGAAGCCGAGAGCGTGATAGCGATGGACTTACCCTTTGTATTGTTCATCCCATTTGGACGAGGAGGTGAAGAGACGAATCGGCGGATACCGCCGGCCTCGCTATCGCTTGCCAGTAGAACGGCTGAAACATTCTATGAGTTGGTAGTCACTGTCCAGCAAGGACAGAGCGCGCAGAATAAGTACGCATTCCCGATACCCTTGCAGAGATACGATACACTATCGACCTTTGGGATGTACAATCGACCAGAAACGAAGATCGCGACCGCAGACAACATCGTCACGTTAGGCATTTCGTTACCGAGGTGGAGCTACGGACCTATGGATCCGATAACGGTGTATATCAAACTTGCGCCGAACCTCGATTGGATGGCAAAAGCGAGAAAAGTCACGATACAGAAGATTACTCTGGCTATTGAGGAGGAGATCACCTATAACCCCGAAGGTGACGAGCCGACCAAGAAGATCAACAGGCTGCACAAACATGTTCAAACTGTAGGGACCAAGTTGCCGGAGGCTGGGTATGTGACGAATATGGGCGTCATTTTCCCCCATAAGGATCTTAGGGACGCGCAAGGTATCATCCGAAGGGGGCAGCCTGCCTTCCCAAACTACGAGGTCACATCTTTCACTACAACATCTACGCTCTATAAGATAGAGTTCTTCCTCAACATCAAGGTTTGTTGATTGTACGCATAATCCAACGTGAGGTGAGATGCTTACACAGCTGTTTAGGCACATATGACTTCAGCGAGAGACATCACACTAAGGCAACCTATAGTTATATGTCCGATGGACCACCAAGCGTGCAAAGAAGAAATGGACGCAATCGAGCAATCTGCGAAAGAAGCCTCTGCTGTCGACCAGAACAACCCCATGCTACCCGCGCCGACCATTGTCCTAGCCAATGACAACGACGCCTTGAGAACGTTAGGACTGTGTATGGTTGGCGGACAGAAGAAGCCACTCATAGAATGAGCGGCCGCCAATCGCGGGAGCAAGGCAGCGGCAACAGCGTTTGTGGGTCAAACGAGAACCTCACACAACATCCACACCGATCAACCCGAAGGATTTGCAACCCTCGCAGCAGCGGTGTCGCGTTACTTCATTCAAACACGTCGCTTTCTCGGAAAGAACCGCCCGAGGCGGTTTCGTGCAGGCTAGTTCCGAGAGTAGACTTGGCAATAGTCAACGACGAGTCTTGTCGGAAAGTCGAATTTGAAGATAGTGGGTTGCACAGAGGACCAGACTGCTTTGAGCATTCAGCCACGTGCGATCTGCTTGCTAGAAGTGATTGCACTTGGCAGCAGCTCTTGCGGACCACACAACTTTGGACAAGATGACAGCGAGAAGACACTGATGCTATCTTACCAATCATGAGTGTTTGATAGACGTAGTTTCTATCATGAACGCAATGAGAGACTACGTTAAAGGGAATGATGTTACGGAAACAAGACTGGCAAGCTTGGCGTCAGGCGCGGAAGATTATCTAATTGCTGTCTACGGCGTCACAATACGGATTAAAGATCGAGAGAAGGCAAGGCATCAGGGGCAGGGATACCCGCGCGTTGCGTCTCAGGCGTTCAGGGTACGGAAGGTCTTATTATACGGCGGAGTTTGGCCTTTGAAATTCGATAGGCCAAGCACAAAGAAGCAAGTGCGGTCTGCGGGCCTCTGTTTTCGAGTCGAGTCAAGTGTTGGATTTCGGCCTCCATTCAGGTCTGCTTGAATGATGCAGAGCAACCTGCCGGCCTACCAACAACCTGCACGAGGCATCCTCAATACGAGGACGATCCTCAATGGACGATGGAGTGGGCAGAGCTACCGATCTAATGGATGCTGCAGCATTTTGACGGACGGACCGATTTGTTGAAATCTGCATGTCTGTATATATATGCTGTACCTCTTATGATACGCATGTCCACTTTTCCCCGTCCGGACGTGTAGACAGTTATTGGATAACATGTTTCAAATTTTGCAACGCCTACCTTGTCTTCGTGTAACATTTGCTGGTGTGTGACTTACGATAAAGGAAAAGCTCGCTCTGGGCTAAATTACTTGCTATTTGTTATCTGGTGTCGTGACCTGCTGCTCTTTACATGTCACAGCGTTGTGGCCGCTCAAGAACCCAGTGGAATGGAGGCTCGATAGAGATAGAGAACATGTTAAATAATGGATGTCGCACATTCAAGGGACGTCTCGTAAGGGAACAGGACCAATTGATTCCAACGTGTCATTTAAGGCAATGCAAGAAGAGGGCAAGTACCCGCAAGGGCGGTCTTGAGCAATGCTAACTAAGTCCGCATCTCCTTTCCTCTTTGTTGAAAAAAGAGCCATCGCCGCCAACTGAGGAGCCGCATTCCAGAACCTTCAGCCCAATTTCATTTCAGGGCCGCGGCCCCATCTCCAGGGTAGTTGGCTACCTAGCTAGTTAGTCTCTTCAAAAAGGAAGGCCAAAATGTTACGAAGAGCCGCAGGCTTCATAAAATAGCGCCAAAAATTGACATTGAGAGCCGCAGGATTCGAACCTGCGCGGTTTCCCACTGCGGTTTCAAAGTTTTCAGAGGAAATACCTAAACACAGCGCCTTAACCACTCGGCCAGACTCCCCACCATCGGTGGCAATAGTTGTCTTATCGGCACTCTAGACTACTTTGAAGTACTTACATAAGATTCACCGTGTTACTGACACTCAAGTTTGAGTTTAAAACGACGTAGAGCTGAGTTTGAGGTTGATAAGGGCAGCGTATAGAGCTTAGATGTCATCTGCTGGTGTTATCGGTTGCGACTAGAGGGGTTAATTTTATAAAGGAGGGAGTTCGATTTATTTTTCAAGTAGTCATCACTTGGAACTCGGCGGCCAGACAAACTAAACAGCATTCCGAAGCACCCAATAAACTGTGTGTACAGGCGAAAACAGTACAGACAACGGCCATCGGCATTTTAATAGCAGCTCCCCACATCCACCTTGCCAGTAGTCATGCGAGGCTGACAAGGTTCATGGTAGCCTCAGACTGGGGGGGGAGAGGTTCTTCTTCTATCAAGAGTCATTACCTACTTAGGTAGGTACTTGCTCACAACTCTTTACTAAAGCTCCACTTCTACACTTCAATTATGCAAGCGCCCGCTTGCGCAGAATTCAATTCAGTACCCAGTTCGAATTATCTGATTCCGAGTACTGAGCTCATACATCTATCTACAAGCCAAAAACTACTAGTCCTCTGACGAGGGAATCTTTCCCCGCCATGGCCTTCGACGACGAAGACCCCACCTCAACACCGCTCGCAGACGCTCGATCAGATACAACGGACGAGCCTCCCGTCGCCGAAGATGATCCCGAAGACGAAATACAAGATTTCCGCAAATTTGCATCCGTACTCCAGAAGACAAATGTCTCCAGCAAGCAGGTCCGCCGCGGGGAGAAGGACTACGAATCGCACGGCACCCGCCTGCAGGAGAACTACCTTGAGGCTAGCCGGCAGGCTATGCATGAGACCCTGAGCTATACGCGCGCACATCATCCAACACATCTGACTCGAGGGTGGTATTTCCCGGACCAGTGGGCGGGAGAAGAGGAGGAGGATGATGCCATTGGACTCTTCAAGAGGGAGAGGGTTGTGGTTCTGGAGAACGCCAGGGGAGTCATGACCAAGACTACCGGCAGAGTCTTGAAGGGGACTGGGAAACATATCCACACTTGGGACAAGACTTGGTTATTGCCGGAGGAAGCGCTGTTCATGGTCGAAAGAGGCGACTTGCATCTATGGTGGCCGGAGAGGGGAATTGAGGATATATTTCCATTAAAGGACAAGGAAGGAGAGCAGCAAGACAAACGTGACCTGCGTGAACGGGCCGAGAAGGAAATCCCTTCTCCTGATCCAAACGAGTTTGGACTTCCGCTCAGCTTACAGGCTGCGTATGCGCTCTTCATTGGCAGAGATGGCGAGAGAGGCAAGGTAACTTTGGAGAACTACCAAGTCTACGTCAACCTCCGACGGTCAGGGTACTTGGTCTATCGCGCAACTTCGACGACAGAATCAACACCCCAACTTGCTTCCTCGCCACCGTGGACACTCTGGCGGTGGCTTTTCTCTCTCCTCTCTCCTACAAAGTCAGAACGAACTCGTGACTACCCGCCCCTAGGACCTCTCGTCAAACCCGGCTTTTATCGTTCCTACCGATCCATCTTTCAGCAATTGGATCTGATTTCACGACATGAACCGAGTCCTCAGCCTGACGGGTCAACACCTACCCAAGCGCCGTTCAAGATACTATACCACGTTTACAAAGCGCGACATGGCTTCGCCAAGGCGTCTCTACCTCCCCCAGACTTCCGTATAGCTGTTGTCAATGCGCGGACCACATCGGTGCCGACTCTGGCTGAGATGGCTTCTTTGCTGGAGTCCACACCCTTTAATCCGCCTGGTGAGAGGTTGGCTGCGGGTAGAGGTGTTGGCTTCACATTCAAGCGACTCAAGCATGGGTGGCGAGACGCCATCATGGCTGTTGTCGACAGTGGGTTTATCAGCTATTTGCGCTTCACTGAGATGGCGTTCGGTGAGGACAAGCTGTATGAAGGATTTGACAGACCAGCAACCAGAGGTGGTAAGAGGGGAGGTAGGAACCACGCCGGACGGGGAGGACGCGGAAAACGAGGAGGCGGACGTGGGCGCAGTCGAGGAGGTTGAAAGTGAGGGACGATGCAACGAAGGCGCTTGGAAATGCAACTTCTGGCCGTCAACCGACGCAGGGCATTTAGAACTTGGGACTATCACCGGCGAGTCGCCTGGTCGTGGCGCAGCCCCACCTTTATCTCGCAGCTTGTGGTTCGAAGTGCCAAAGGAGCACCCGCAGTCAAGACTCGCACCGTTCCTACATATTGGTCGAACGCTTTCGTGGTGCCGGTTCCTCGTCGGTCCCATTGCTCCGCCTCGAGCTATACCTTGCCACTTTCCAAAATCATGCTTGATGATAGGAAAGCCTTACGTCCTCCGATTGACATCGCCCGCCGTCTTGCCAGGAAGGTACCAGGAGCTCAAGAGATACGGAGGGGAAAAGCCAATCGTATATTTCTAGACTCTATGGCCAGGGCGATTGTGGATGGTCCGCTGTCTCATTGGGTAGATCGGCTTCCTGTAGGATCCCACTCAAGAAGAACGTTCCAGAGTCAAGCAGTTACGTCTATTATTGCATGTGCGCATGGATGTACCTGCAAGAAGATTTGAACGCGACAAGTGTGGAAGGCTGCGATCATACAATGTAGAAAACCCTAACATACAGCGCTCCAACGCTTAATGTGCACAAACGGGTGTCGGTTCACGCTAACTGGCATCCTTGACCGCACTCACAACAATGACGACTACCTACCTTGCCTTATGCGGCAGCGTTGACATCTTGGGGCTTTCTCTGCTGCGTTATCAGGCGACGGGATTAGTCTGGTCGCATGATACGACGCTCATCTTCTTAAAGGAAGGAAGGGGTCTTGCTGTTGCGCCACTTATTCTCCGCAGTTCCAACGCATGAACGTTAAGCTGCTCACAGTCGTCAAGCAGATGGTAGAGAAACACCGAGGCCATTATGAAAGCAAGATGCACCAAGGCAACCAAGCCCTAAAGGACAAGGCCAAAGATTGTCTCTCCTAGTACATTTCGACGAAATCATTAGCAAGTTTTCCGGATAGTATACTTTATACTTAGGATGTCTGAGCTGAATGCGAGAACAAACAGAGCATACTTCCCTACAAGAGTCGCACGGCCACCGACGAAGATTGTATCCGGAATCTGCGCTGTAGTGCGACACGATGTTGAGCCCGAGGAAGATAAGAAGGCTAGACCGTTCACACGTTACAGCCTAGATTGCCTAGTGCACGTCTTCAAGGTAGCCACGGAGGACTATAGAGAAGACCAGACTCTCCAGTTGCTGCTACCTGTCCGAGACATCATGAGCTTTTCCCTACCGCCGTCAAGGTGGGCCTACACCATCGCACGAAAGCCGTTCCCAGGGCATCTGTATGCCAGGACGACAGCGAGCCCATGGCCCATCGATGTATTTGTACCTTCAACTACGCCCATACCATCTGAACCTTATTATTGACTCAATGCCTATACCGCCGACGGCTTTTTATGTCACCGAGTCTGGACCGTCGACTAAGCCTGAACCCGTCGTATGAGCCTCTTACACCGTCGATCGAGCCTATATACTGTCACTGAGCTTATCGTAATCTTAACGAAGCCTATTATATCGTTGGCTGAGCCTATTATGTTGTCAAGCGAGCTTTATATTCACACTGACTAAGCCTATCATACCGCCAACTGAAATCCTTCTCGGTGCCTTCTGTCGCAAGTGACTACAGTCGATGTGCCATAGCAATGAGTGTACTAGGCAACTCCCCGTATCCCAAGAGTAAGCATTAGTGAGTAGCCACAACGTAGCAACATACACTTCTAGGTGTATAGTCACACACACAACGAGCCAGCTAGGACTCGACTCCAGGAATGTTGCAACAACGCCTTGGGCTTGCGCCATTACATACCGCTTCCTCTTCGGTGGCGTATCACATAGTCTATCGAGTGAAATACCTGTAGTACGTACGATTAGCTTCTATTTACGATTGCAATGTCCACACTGAACCGACTGCCCCTGTTACACATGTATTCCGGTTCACCATACTATGACACAGCGTACCGATGAAGAGCAGCCCACGAGACGCGGAACATCGCCTCCCAAGGTTGCAACTTTGTGGCGCATCAAACATTGGACTTCACTGGGTATATGACAACACCGGCAGGCCAGAGGTGACACATAATTCTCCTTGGTGTAACAGGATCATACTCAGCCCTCCAGAAATCTGTGTCTTCTGTATGACATGCTCTTTGAAAGGAAACAAAGTATCAAGCTCCAGTCGTCACGAGGATTGCTGTATTATACTCAGTCTGCCCTACTCTGCTCTGCAAGTGTGTTATCATTGGCAGACATAAGCCAAGCCAGCCAGCCGTTGTGAACACGTTGCCTGTTGTTGACATTGAAGCTCGGAAGGCTGCGCCTACGATACGTATAGTTTGTTCCCGCACCTCATCTGAGGCAGGCGGGGCCGTTGTGAAGGTCCCACCAAAGTTAGTGACAATAATAGAGAATTGACTAACGAACCTGGCATTTTCGTATCATCTTTCTATAGAAGAAGAAGACCTCTACTCCCACAGCTTGGAGCCCCTTGCAAACTACTGTTGCCAGCAAGCACCAAAAGAGAAAGTCTTACAATCATCCAAGTGTCGCGACTGCGAGGTTCCACAAGTGAGTCCCACATAATCCAGGTGGCGCTTCACTGAGAAAGTCTACAAGGTGTTAACCCGCAGACACGGAACTACTGTAACTCTGATAAAAGTTTACAAGGAATGCAGCTGTGATTTAAAGTAATAAGTGAGTGGGGCTTCCTCGGCATCTTGTTGGTCGGGACTGGTCGACTGGAATGCCTTGGAAGGCCATTCACCCTGTCGTCTGCTTATCATTGAGACAACTGATCACTGGGGTTAGTCGAGGTCAAGGATGACAATGTCAGATGAAAACAAGATGTGATCCCGTCATATCAGACATTGATGATGACCGAGGCCATG